AGGGCCTGGAAAGGTGTATGTGCGTAAGTTGTATTTTGGGGAACTCACTAAGCATTTATGCTTACAATTGTTGTGTTATGTGTTTCAGGTACTAGCGAGGACCGTGGGAAGGCGCCGACGTGATTGTACACACTGTCGGAGAAACTGTTTTTATGATCATGGGATGTATATTGTTATGATAACATTGTTCACGTTTGAATTTGGAATATTAAACGATGGTTTTTGATGTTTGCAAAAATGAAAATTTTGTTTTAAAATTTACGTTGTTACACACCAGCTGCTGCTCGCAGTCTATAACCGCTCCAAATCTGCTCAACCAATCCATGCCTACGATGACACAGACGTCCCCCATCGCAATCGGGACCAAATCAATAGGAAACTCTACACCGAAAATCTCAAGTACACATCCTCGAATCACCTCTGTGGCATATACTGCTCTCTCGTCGGTGATGGAAACTCTCAGAGGTCGACTTAACGCCTCTCGACTAATGCTGATGTGCCAACCGAAAGCCAACGATACAAAAGATCGACTCGCACCCGAGTCAAATAACACCAAAGCAGGTATAGAATTCACAAGAAAAGTACCTACGCATATCATAATATAAGCATAAAATTTTAAACATTAAATAATTACATGAAAGAGTACATACCAACCACGACATCGGGTGCTGCGCGGACCTCCTCCGCGGTCAACTGGAAGGCTCTCCCTCACGCCTTCAGTACCTCGACCTTCACTGGCCGACTCTCAGTAGCTCTGATAGCAGCAGGGGCAGATCCCTGTGGTGCTCCCTGGGTAGTCCTTCGCAACAGCGGACACTCTGCCTTCCGGTGTCCGGTCTGGTTGCAGTGAAAGCATACTGCAAACCCCTTTGGGTAGTCCTTGGCCATATGCCCCTCCTTGCCACACTTATAGCAAGATCCCAATCTACAAACCCCATCATGACCCTTGTCGTACTTCCCACAAGTGTGGCCCTTCTAGCTCCCTGCTCTGGGATCAGCGGGCTTGGCCCGCTTGGCTACCAGCTGAGACTGTGCCGGTCGTCGATCCCTCCCCTGAGACTTCGCCTCCTCCCTCGCCCGAGTCTCTAGCTCGATCTCCCTCTTCCGAGCATTTGCCTGAAGCTCGGCAAATTTCTGGTACGAGGAGTTCGCCACGAACTCCCGAATATCTCTCCGTAAAATACTCAAATAACGACTTATACGTGCCTGCTCAGAAGACACGTGCTCAGGGCAGAACATCGCCCTCTCATGAAACATCCTGGTGATAACTGTAACGGACTCTGTACCCTGCTTGAGGGTCAAAAACTCCTGTGCCAACCGATCCCGTTCCACCGGAGGAACGTACTCATCACGAAACATGGTGGTGAACCTCTCCCAGGTCACCGCAGCAAGCTCTGCTGGAGAATAGTGTGCTGTCATGAACTTCCACCAGTCCTTCACCCCCAGGTGAAGCTGGTTCAGCGCAAACCGAACCCTCAAGTGCTCCGGGTACGAGCATGTGTACAAACAACCCTCAATGTCAGACACCCATCTCATCGCTGCAATCGGATCATGCATCCCATCAAACTCTGGTGGCTTCGTGTTGCTGAACTCTCAGAACAGCAATGCATCACCACCCTGCGGCCTCGCAGCAGCAACAGCTGCAGTGGCCGCTGCAACAGTAGCCTCAGAAAGAGCAGCATAACGCTCGTCAAAAGTCTCAATCAGCGTGGTCTTAATAGACCCAAACATCTCTGGTATCTCTACCCTGATGGCCGCAACCACCTCCTCATGGATGATCCGGCGGATCTCCTCATCACTAGCCTCGCTGCTCCCTAGCATAAGTTGTGTCCTCACCATGATCTATCTGTGAAATACAACATACCATATATTAGAAATTCATTCGAGCATACTCGCACTCGATAACACATCCCTCCTTGATCTCTGGCACCCTGAAGATTCTTACTTGAATTGTACACCGCCTCGGTGTTTTCAGTAGTACGGGCCCAATACTACTGTCCGCACCATATCAGTGTACACCCCAAGTCCTCCTCTTAGGATCCCAAGTCCCAAGTACTCTATTATGCATAATCCACTCTCTATAGATCTCTCATAGCTCCTCACTGCTACCTACTCACTCTCAAGCATCTCTTAGCAACTCACCTTCCCCTAGGCTAAGGCATCACAAATCAGGCCACCCTAGTCCTAATAGGAATACCTAGCCCTCTCTAGCAAGATAATACATCATATCAATCTCATAAACATATAACATAGGGGTATTTTGGGAAATCACCGTTCGGGCGCTGACTGATCGTACACACGTCTCTGCTCTGTGTTTCTCTGAAAATCTTTTACTTCTTGTAGAAAACTTGGTTTTCTTTTGAAAATATTTTCCAAATCCTCAGTTTAAGTTCAAATACTCCCGAAGGTGTACCCGAATCCCTCAAACCAAGGCTCTGATACCAACTTGTAACACCGTAAATTTCCAAAACAATTTTTCGCATTTATAAAAACATAATTCATTTGTAAATTATAAAAACATCATTGTTTGAAACTCAATTTATAACATATAACAATCCCAAGATCTCTTAGCATAAAAATCCTATGTGTGTACTGATCAAGCCGGCGCCTTCCTGCGATCCTCACTAGTACCTGGAACACATAACACAAAACACTGTAAGCACAAAGCTTAGTGAGCTCCCCAAAATACCACATATAACACATATTAGCCACTCGAGGCTATAATTCTGTGGGTCCGTGCACCCAAAACTCTGTGAACCCTCAGGTTCTAACTCTGCAAGCATGCACATCATAAATCACATAGAAGAATTTAGTGCAACAAACAATATATATAAAACACTGTATCACATAACTCTATTTACCTACTCAAGGTAAAGTATAGTAAGAAGACTCACTTTGTGTATCTTGGTAACTCGTAAATCCCTGAAATCACTAGTGCTTAATCTCCCGAGCTATAGTCCTCCTATAACGCAATACATCTCTAATTAACACTTTCCCAACTAAGGTTGACTAACCCTATCAAGTCAACACCGGTCAACTCTGGTTAATGGTCAACAGTCAACCCAACTCGCCGAGTCTGGCGTGGACTCGCCGAGTCACTCACCCAACTCGATTCCTATGAGTCCTATGAGTCCTATGAGTCCCTTCCGACTCACCGAGTCACTCACCCAACTCGATTACTCAACCCCTGGTTCGAAATCCCTGAACAACCCGCACCAACTCATCGAGTCTGCTAATGGACTCGGCGAGTGCATTCCATGCACAACCCCAAACGACCTTCTGAGGTCAGATCTGTTCCACTAACTCATATATCCAGTCCTTCCAAGCTTATTTATCACGTAAAGTTCATGTCTTGGCGCTCATATCACACCTAATGACTCATAAATGGTGTTTTGACCTCAAGCACAAAGATCTCAAACCAAAACCTCCATGGACTCATAAAAAGCTTGGACAAAAGGACACTCTGGACCTCCAAGGGTCCAGATCCAGAACCTAACTCGCTTAAGGGACCAAAGGAGCACTAGATCTAGCCACAAAAGGGCTCAATAAACCCTAAATCAACATGAACATCACCTCAACAGAAAAATGGTTCGAAAATAGTACCTCAAATGTGATGTTCTGGACCTCAGATCTTCAGGAAGTTAACCCTCTTGCTTCTTCTTGGCTAAAGCTTCCTTTCCCTTTCTAGACAACACCTCCAAGGTTGATAATGGCTCCTTCTCTCACTCCAAATGCTCAAGTGCACTAGGGTTTCACTATGGGGGCTGGTGAGCACAAATGACAGCCATAAGGCCCTTTAAATAGGCCCTAAACCTAAGAAATTAGGGTTTCATTAAACAACGCGGACTCGCCGAGTCCACCAATGCGACTCGTCGAGTCCGGTCATTAATCCGGATGAGAAATCGCGTCTCTACTCGGCGAGTCTACACACCAACTCGCCGAGTTCTTCCACAAAACTCAAAATAAAATGAATAAATATAATACCTGAAATTCCGGATGTTACATGTTGTGAACGATGTGTTCACCGGTGTACTCTATCCCCCTCATGGTTGCCTTCAGGGCATCTATTGTTGAGGAAATCCCTTAGCAGTAATGTCTGCCCCGATGAAAATCCTAGATTAGGTCCCTGGTAATAGATGTTGTTTTAGGGACATAAAGTGAGGATAACGGGAATGGGTAATCGGGTTATTGTTGGTTGGTAAAATTAAATATAATTATTTATTGTGGGTTGAAAACCCTATATGCTCACTAGGTTCCCAAGCTTGACCCACTCAGTTTACTTGTATTACAGGTAGTGGCGCGAGGGCATAAGATGGATAAATCATCAAGTTATTTTGTTTATTAGACCAGTTGTTATATGTAATTGTTGTATGATATATCTTTTGTTGTTTATGCTTTTGTGTTTGTATCGGAACATAACATCCCGAGTTTTGATTATATAATGAAAATACATTTCTTTATGAAATGCTTTGGTAAATATTATTTTATCATATTTTGTTTTTGGGAATAAATTCCGCAACTCTTTTAAATCAAAAGGATTTACTCTGAAATTATTTTAAAAGCATAAATGAAACCGGTCTTTTCTGGCCGAGATTTTGGGGATGTCACACCCCCCCCCTCTTCTTGTGATTAACGGTCGATCCACCTTGATTACTTCATTCCATTCGTTCTTCCCTTATTTCAATCATGCTCCTTTCATTCCAAATCAAATGAAGACGGGAACAAGATATACTTTCCCCCTCTTTGCAATTGACCAACATCTTCAACTTCTACCTTCGTTTTCTTTTTGGTTTCTGTCAAGAAGCTTCTCTGGAGATGGAGCAGCATCCGGCGAGAAGAATAAGAATAAGAAGAAAACATGTGAATGATGATCGGATCACACCCCTTTTTTTGTCAACTAAATCATCCATGCACCCACTGTTTTCATCGATCAACCCTCCACTCAAACCCTTCCTCTCTCGTCAAACAATTGTTGCTTCTCCCCATCTCCTTTCCTCGTCATGTGCTTTTGGACGATAAAAAGAAGAGGCAATAGAGCTGCCATCGCAAGCCATCCACCACCACATGTTGCTATTGTTATTCCGACCACCACCACTTCTTTCCTCTCTATTTCCGGTGCCCCCTTCGACCAACACCACCGAGAGAATTACTGTAGGTCTTGACGAAAGATCAGCAACCACCAAATCCAAATCGCCTTTGCCTCCATGATTCCTTCTTGATGCGGTCGTTCGATTGCTTTTTTCCTTTGCCCGATCAAGAAATAACCAAAGGCAGTAGAAGCCTTAATCCACCTAAATTTGAGCCATTAATCATATCTAGCCCCTCCATTTGTAGAGAGAGAGAGAGAGAGAGAGAGAGAGAGAGACGAGAGAGAGAGAGAGAGAGAGAGAGAGAGAGGGGATGAGAGAGAAGGGGGAGGGCTCTGGTGTGGTTGGTAGAGAGAGAGATGGGGTTAGCTTTTGCATTAATATTTATAAAATAAAAATATGAAAAATACAAAAAAGGAAATTTAAAGGGCAAAACAATCAATTCAAGTGCTACATGGACAAAAATACAAAAACTTGTTAAGTTTAGGATTAAAAACCCATAAAAACATTGATTTTGGACATTTTCTGCAAGCCGAAAACTTTTTTAACCCCATTCATGGATTTTTACAAACCGCAAGGACCGAATTTGCAGTTTTGTCTTTATATTTTAATAGAGAGCATGTTAGATTTGGTTGTGAATGGTATAGTTGTAAAAAGTTGTGTTTGGAAGAGTGAGAACTATTTATTTAATGTTTTAATAGTAGTCTACGGTCTTCCTCCGGAAACCATCGCGCCCTCCCTCTCTCCCTGGGTCCTCCGTCTGTGCGAATCAGTTCCCGTCGTGGCCGCCGACAGCATCTCTTTCATTCTTCGTCTGCATCACCTCTTTCTAAGGTATCTTTATGCTTACTTCATGTAGATCGTTGCTTAAGCAATATGTATGTTTCGATTCCATAGCTAGTGATTATCAGCTTAAATATTCCTGATCTCGCAGCTTGAGAATTAAAGTATGTTATTTCTAATAAGTTCGACTTAGGTGACTATACTTTCGGATTTCTAGAAACTTTTCCTGGCAAAATTTCGAAATGTGAAGTAGTTTTGTCCATTGCGTACCAAATACAATCCCCCAGTTTATTGTTAGAAAACCTAGATATGTTTCGTATACATATTTCTAATTTCTTATTCCAGATTTCAAGTGATTAAGTGAATCAATTTCTGCTCCATTTGATTTTCTTATATTTCTGATTTTCTGAGTTTCTCCATAACAACCACCGATCAAGGAATGACAGCCAGTGAATCGAGTTTGACTGCTTCTCTTTCTCACGATTCCAGAAAACTGAAATTGATTCTTGCCCTTCTTCTTTTCGATTTTCAGTTTATTTTTCTTGAAAATAAGATGAAATCTCGATTCTTGCTCTTCTTATTTTCGATTTCCAGTTTCTTTTTCTTGAAAATAGATGAAATCGAGAGTAGACTCTGTGTATGAGAGTATCTGACCTTATCATTGTGAATATCTGTAAGTTATACTTTCTAGCATTCTTGAAATTTCTGATTATTTTGTGCAATTCGTTTTTTAGTAAAATATATCTTTTTTAACTTCGCTATTTTATTCTGTGTAGAATCAGAATATCTGAGTATAGACCTTCTGAATCTGATTATGAATCACTACCTTCTGATTGTGAATTGTAAGTCAGTCTTCTCCAATTCTTTGGAGATGATTTCTTATCTGTCTTATATTTTTTAATTACTTGGAAATTGGAATTGGTTTCTTTTCTTCATTGCATTTTCTTATCTCTTAGTTTCAATTTTATTTTTTTCTTTAGTATGTTGGGTATCTGTTTGTTGTTAGCCTCTTATTACTGAACAATCTAATTAAACTCAAAGATGATATATGCATAAGTTTTTAAAGTAAATAAATTCTGCTGATGTACAAGAAAACGATGAACTGTTTTTTAAATGAGCAAGAATAGTGGGACTGATAGCTATACATTTTTTCTTTTTACAGGTATAAAACTAAATTAGCTTATATAAAGATTGGCTATGGATTGATAAGACTTGAAGATATTTCTAGACGGGTTGAGATCATATTGTGTGTTGTTTTTGTTGTTCAAAGAAGGTGTGGAATTTGGAATCATATTTTTCTTTGACAATCTAAATCTTTTATATTGGTTTTAAGACAGATTTACCCCTGTTGGCAATTTTCAATACTGAAGATGTTCTTTATTATATGTATAACAAGGATCTTTTATTGGCTTTAAGACAGATTTACCCCTGTTATTAACAAATATGATCCCTGTATCTCTTGGACCTTTTATGATATATATATATATATATATATATTAATTTACAGGGACCACATCTTTAAGATTGTGTGAAAACTTTTTTTTAAATGCATTACTTAAAACAGTTATTAAAATGAAAGTTTGTTGCTATAATAGACACAAACATCAAAGTAAATCTGTATTTAGCCCAATAAAGGAGAAAACACAAAATGTAGCAATGTCCTTTTGTTTGTTTCTCAAATGTAGCGTCTTACTTTACCTATATCTTTTAATAACATATTTTTGTATTTAAAATGGGTTATTTTTATAGCAATGTGTGTTTTTATTTTTCAACCTAAGTTTCCAAAGGGGCCCGTTTTTTTGTTTTGCCCCGGGCCTCAAATTATCTTGGACCAAACAAACATATGAACATATGTGATTATGCATGCCATTATGGTCCTCACAACAGATGAAGTCCATAACCTGCTTTGTTGGTAGATTATGTATCTAATCTGTAGGTGATGTAGTTTTTGTTGTAGCTATCGTGCTTTCACATATATAGTTAATTTTGTCTGAAGATTTCAAGCAAGAAATGTAATATAACCATAATGATCCACTTAAAATCATATAGCTGTATGTTGATTTTTTTCATCTTTGACAGTATCTTCTCTCGCATATCCATTTTTTTTTTAAATGAGAGGAGAGGACTATAGCTCATCATTGTATTAGTATATTTATTTTTAATCGGATTGTATCTTATCTCCAATAGGATTCACGAGGCTTAACGAAGTCATCAACATCTAAGGGGAGGGTAGACGCTACGTGAGATCATGGAATCACCTGGTTAGTCCTTTGAAAGCTTTGGCAGTTTCATCACTTGATTTGGTGATTGGTTTTGTGAAGAAAGTCATATGATGGATTCTGAGTCTTGCGTTTTATCTTGCAGCTGGTGGATTGCGGGATACATCTGTTGTTGTTGTTACACTTGATACGAGTGAGGTATATATAATTGTGAGTTTGTCTTCTAGGAATGACACTCAAGTGATCTATATTGATCCGACAACTGGGTCTCTTAGACATGAGCAGAAGGTGGGTTATGATGTTTTTAATTCCGAAGATGAGGCATTAAACTACATCACAAATGGTTCAAGGTCGATTTACAAGACTATAACCTATGGCAGAGCCATATTAGGTTATGCAGTGCTTGGGAGCTTCGGCTTGCTGCTTGTTGCAACAAAGTTGAATGCTAGCATTCCAAATTTGCCTGGTGATGGGTGTGTGTACACTGTTAGTGAGAGCCAATGGATCAAAATCTTACTTCAAAACCCCCAACCCCAAGGGAAAGGAGAAGTAAAGAATATTCAAGAACTTGCTGAACTTGATATTGATGGAAAACACTACTTTTGTGAAACAAGGGATATAACACGACCTTTTCCAAGTCATGCTTCTGTTCGAGACCCCGATGAGGAATTCGTTTGGAATGGGTGGTTCTCGAGTCCTTTCAGACGAATTGGTCTGGAGCAACACTGTGTCATTTTACTGCAGGTATTAATTTCTTTCTTATCGCATCACCTACTACAACATTGTACTACTACCCATATAGCATTGTCATCAGATGCAAAACAGTGGTAGATTTTCAAAGTATGCTTGAACCGGAATTAGGGCTCTAGATGTTATGCTATAACTGGAATTAGGGCTCAAAACAAATGATTACCTGATACTGGAATGTCTAATGAATTTAAAAGCTTTCTACCTAGTTTTCTCCCAAGGAAACAAAATAAAACCTTACTAACTCCTTTAGAAACTGATCAGCTATCATCATAGCCTACTTAATTGTGCTAAATGACTAGAATACCCCTGCTGGCCAAAAGTCATGATTCTAATTGCACAATATTATTGTCTTCTTCTTCTTCTTCTTCTTGTGTAGGGATTTCCATCCGATATGCTTGCTACACTTCCAATCTTTTCCAAAATCACATAAGGGGCAAGTTTCGGACTATTATTAACAACTAACAACCGTTAAGCTTTAAAAATACTTTTTCTCCCGCCATAAACTCTACCACTTTCCTCCCTAAATTTGCGTTTTGAAGTTGCGTATTTGGCTCATCCAGTACTCTAGATCTCGCTCTAAATAATAATCGTTGCTTTATGAATTTCACAACAAGACTAAAGGAGAGCAGATTACTGTTTTGGTTTATCAGATATTGTTGCAAACACTAGTCTTAAATTTCATTATTTTAAGCAGTCAATACTCAACTGACAATTTGTGTAAATTTAATTAACTCATGGTTAGCATGTTAGATCTACAGAGTATTTATTACATACATACATGTATGTCAATTTGTTACAGGGATTTGCAGAATGTCGAAGTTTCGGAAGCTTAGGTCAGCAAGAAGGAATTGTTGCTCTTATAGCTCGTCGAAGCAGGCTTCATCCTGGCACTCGATACCTAGCAAGGGGCATAAATTCTTGTTACAGCACAGGTACAGTCGATGTGAATACAAACACACTACACTACACACCACATAACATATCTTGTATTAATTATATTGTAATGTAGGCAATGAAGTTGAGTGTGAGCAAGTTGTATGGGTCCGGAAAAGGGCTGGTCAAAGTGTGGGTTTCAACTCGTATTTATGGAGACGAGGCACTATTCCCATCTGGTGGGGTGCAGAACTGAAGATGACAGCTGCAGAAGCAGAAATTTATGTTGCAGAGCGTGATCCATATAAAGGAAGTGCAGAGTATTACCAGAGACTAAGTAAGAGATACGATAAACGAGATAGGCAAAAGAAAAGTCCATTGGTTCCAATTGTGTGCATTAACCTGCTAAGGAATGGAGAAGGGAAATCAGAAGCCATTCTGGTTCATCATTTTGAAGAATCTATGAATCACATCCGATCAAGCGGAAAACTTGCCAACACTAGGGTTCTGTTAATAAATTATGACTGGCATGCGACCATCAAATTAAAGGGGGAGCAACGAACCATCGAAAGACTGTGGTCCCTCCTAAAAGCACCAACAATATCCATAGACATTTCTGAAGGGGATTATTTGCCATCTCGTCAGAGGATGAAGGATGTTCAAGGTGAAGTGATTTATAATGATGATGACCCTGTTGGTGCCTTCTGCTTACGCTCACATCAGAATGGAATCATACGCTTCAACTGTGCGGATTCTTTGGATCGAACAAATGCCGCCAGCTATTTTGGTGCCCTTCAGGTTTTCACAGAGCAGTGTAGGCGCCTAGGAATATCTCTCGACACTGACTTGGCTATTGGTTATCAATCAGCTAACAACTATGGTGGATATACCGCACCTTTGCCCCCTGGATGGGAAAAACGATCTGATGCTGTAACTGGAAAATCATATTACATCGATCACAATACCAGGACCACCACTTGGAATCACCCATGTCCAGATAAACCTTGGAAACGTTTTGACATGACCTTTGAGGAGTTCAAAAGGTCTACAATCTTGTCACCCGTTTGTCTGCTGGCTGACCTTTTTCTGCTAGCTGGTGATATTCATGCCACAATCTACACTGGATCTAAAGCAATGCATAGTCAGATTCTTAGTATATTTACTGACGAACCTGGAAAGTTCAAGCAGTTTTCTGTCGCACAGAATGTGAAAATCACGTTGCAGAGAAGATATAAAAACGCAATTGTTGATAGCTCTCGTCAGAAGCAGTTAGAGATGTTCCTTGGACTACGCCTTTTCAAGCATCTTCCATCACTACCACTCCAACCTTTACATGTATGTAAATTTCAACTTTTTTTTTTTGTCATAACTAGTATATGCATGATAAAAGAAATTGACAAATAACTGACAGACTAATATTAATAACAAAGTAACTAATTGATGTCCCGATTTAAGGGCTGGGCTGCTTAGTGTAGAATATTTCTAATATCCTGAAAACAAATGCCCCTTTGTTAAATTCATGCTTTTTTTTACACTGCATATGTATCACACTCTCTCTAACACTTGGATCAATTTACGAATATCATTTGCTTGTAGTCGGGTGTTTTTTGGAGCCAATGATGTCTGTTGATGTTCTTCATCATCATATGTGTATGGATACTGTTCGACAGGCTTTTTGGCTATTAGGGCATTTTGAAATTATGTTTAGGGCTTCCACAAACAATACTGTGTCTGTGTGAGATTCCACAAATTAGATCACCCTGTATTTAAGTATTATACATTTTCTAATCATCTTGATTATCTTTACTGTATTCTATTGAAGCCGTCTCCTGCTTTTACCTTGTATGAAAGAAACTGACCTCATAATTTCTTAGTAGATTAGAGTTGATTAGCTTAATCTCAGAAGAAAAACCTTACATTTAGTTGGCTTGACTTATTTTCTGAATTTGGAATCTCAGTTTGTTATGGTTTTGAATGTATAAAACTTATAAGCATAGATTTTTTCTACAAATTCATTGTATATTTGAGAAGCCAATTCTTAGAAATAGAATGCGAAAAATGGTTTTTGGATTGCATATCTGTGGCTTTAATGTAGTAATTGTTAGTCGTCGTTTCAAAGCTGCAATAGAGCATGAGTTGATATTTATTATTATTATTATTTTGCTCTGCTAGGTGCCAAGTAGACCATTTGGTTGTGTTCTGAAGCCGGTTGCCAGCATTTTGCCGAGTTCTGATGACGGAGGCAGTCTTCTTAGCTTTAAGCAGAAAGACCTTATCTGGGTAACCATTCCATAACATGTAACACTTCCTAATGCTTAATATATATATATATATATATATATATATATATATATATATATATATATATATAAAATCTTACTTTTTTTGTGGTGTACAGGTTTGTCCACAGGCAGCAGATGTCATGGAAGTGTTTATCCATCTTGGAGAGCCTTGTCATGTTTGTCAGCTTCTTCTAACAATTTCACATGGTGCAGATAGTTCAACATATCCATCAAGAGTTGATGTGAGAACTGGACGTGATCTAGATGGGCTTAAACTTGTTGTGGAGGTCTGTCTGGCTCATCTCTCCCAAATCAGGCTAATTCCTAAAGTTAAAATAGTAGTAGTAGTAGCATAACGAAGGTTTTTGTGGTTGTGGTTGTGTGCAGGGAGCCTCTATTCCTGAGTGTGCTAATGGGACAAGCATTGTGATACCCATACCAGGAGCTGTGAGTGATGAGGATATGGCTGTGACAGGAGCAGGTGCACGTGTACATGACCAAGATACAACCAAGCTTCCATTTTTATATGATTTTGAAGAACTGGAGGGCGAATTGGATTTTCTAACTCGTGTGGTTGTACTCACATTCTATCCTGCTGTGTCAGCCAGAACCCCTATCACACTTGGTGAGGTACCGAACATTGCTGCTAACCTCAGTTTATTTGTTCCGAGGTTTTTTCATTCTGTGATGTTGATTGCATTGCTGTTTTGGTTGGGTTATGTAACAACTAACAGGTAGAGATACTTGGAATTTCTCTTCCATGGAGAGACCTTTTTGCTTCTGATATGAGGTTATGGGAACATATCAATAAAATCAAAACCATTACCAATACCAACCCTCTGCCATCATCTGATGCAAACAGCAATCCCTTTTCTACTGATGACAATTCACTAAAATCCAAAAATTCCAGTACCTGGGTGGACCTGTTATCGGGTGATGACATTATATCCATTTCACAACCAGTGCAACAAACTGCTTTACATGATCCATTTCTCAACCCGTTTCATGATGATGATGAAGCAAGTGAGCCTCCTTCTCCTAAGGTCTCTGTACCTGTGCCAACTGAAAGTGGTTCACAACAGTATATAAGTTGTTTTAAGACGATGACTCGCTCACACGTGGTAGGTTGTTATTTCCTCAATTTTCATATAGCTACCTTTTGTCCCACATTGGTAGTTTGGGTTTCGATAGATGAATCCCTTACTTATTATTGAGGTGATTTTTTAGAAATGAGTGGTTTTAAACATTGCAGGCTAAGAAATTAGGGTTTGTAGAAGCCATGAAACTAGAAATAGAACGTCTTGGGCTGAATCTATCTGCTGCCGAAAGGGATAGAGCTTTATTGTCTATTGGCATCGATCCGGCTTCTATAAATCCAAATGCACTGCTTGAAGAATCTTACATAGCTTCATTATGCCGGGCTGCAAACGCCCTTGCACTTGTTGGTCACACTTATTTAGAAGATAAAAGTGGTGGTGCTATTGGGCTTGGTGGTATTGCTACTGATGACATCGATATCGATTTCTGGAATATTAATAAAATCGGGGAAGGTTGTTGTGGGGGATCGTGTCAGGTTCGTGCCGAAGCTTTAACATCAACATCAACATCAACATCGACATCAACATCTTCCATGTTTTCGTGCTCCGAGTGTCGGCGCAAAGTTTGCAGAGGTTGTTGTGCTGGTAAAGGAGCTCTTCTTCTTCTTGGTCAAGGAGATGGCCGTTCAGATGGGGGTGGTGTTATTTGTAAGTTGTGTTGTCATGATACACTTCTTGATGCTCTCATTCTGGACTATGTTAGAGTTTTACTCACCCACCGAAGAAACACCCGCTGTGACCTTGCTGCTTACAAAGCTTTCCATCAAGTCTTGGGACCAAAAACAATGATGAAGCCCCAGCCTGTGTCTCACAACCATGGAACAAATAAGCTCAACCACCAGTTACTCAAAGGACAGGAATCATTAGCTGAATACCCATCTGGCAGCATTTTACACTCGGTAATCTTTATTTCTTACTCTGTTATTCATTGCTAATCACCTGCACCACCTCATTACTACTACTCCTACTCCTACTCCTACTCTTAGGGATGTTTTGGTTTCTACAACGTTTTCTCAAGGACTGAATTATTATATCTGCAAATGAAATTCAATAACAACTTATTTATTTTTGTTCATTATAAATATGTGTACTTGAATTCTTAGTTTTATTTATTTCAGTATAAATATACTGAGGGTATTTTGGTCTCCTAATAAAAAATGAAGAACGGAATTGATTTTCTACCATCCCCTGGCCCTAGGAAAGGTGAATGGTTCTTGAATCATTCTGATGGAATTGAATTCCGCTAATGTGGCAACCAAACACGCTATCGAATAGAATATCAGATTCCACTTTGGTTGGACTTCAAACCAAACATGTCCTTACAAAAATGAAGTTATTTTTTCTTATTATAGGCTTCACTTCATTACCAGTAGGTCAGGTTTCAAAAATTCAAACTTATGATATATATATATATATATATATATATATATATATATATATATCATTTGTAGTCAAATTGTTATGTTTGTGGTCAATAAATAAAGGAGTATATAGGATACTAGCTACCCAAAGGCAAACTGCAAAAGAGCTATAGCTAAATTTATTTTGTATTTTGAGTTTTGTTAGGTTGAATCGGCACCAGGTTCAGCACCACTGTTGTCGCTGCTAGCACCTTTGGATAGTGATGTATCGGATGAGTCATACTGGAAAGCTCCTCATACCACCTCTTCTGTTGAGTTTGTTGTTGTTCTTGGCAATCTTTCCAAGGTCTCAGGCGTTATCCTTGTTGTTAGTCCTTGTGGCTATTCCATATCTGATTCCCCTACTGTAAGTAAATTTATGCTTAAGATGTTAGTTTAGTGCTGTTTTCACACAGCAAAAAGATTTTAAAAAATAGTTTTAATATCTTTCCAATTATGTTATTCCATTTAAGTTTCAAACAAATTGTTAAGCACATTAAATAGACCCAAAAATAACAGTCACCTGCAATTGAATAACTAACTATCCTTATAGAAATGTTTTTATTTTTATTTTTCGAAAATAATGTTATTGAAGTGTACTATGAATTTAAGCTCCAGAAACAAGGGTCACCTGCAGTTGACAAGTCGTTTAGTTTGCACAGAAAAAAGATCTTAGATAGTAACTTTAATATTATTTTTTTATTAAAGTGTGGTGTAATATGAATTTGAAAAGAAAATGTTAAGCAGGACAGAAACAAGTGTCAGTTGTATCGCAGCGAAAAAGATTTAAATAGTGCAAGAATAAGTTTAATATCTGTAGAATTATGTTATCGAAATGTAGAAGTATGAATTGAAGCTCCAAAAAGCACCTAGAAACGGTTATCTGAGGAAAAACAGTTGAGATTTGAATTTAAGTAAATTTTATGCAGGTGCAAATATGGGCAAGCAACAAAATACAGAAGGAAGAAAGAAGAATTATGGGAAAATGGGATGTTGGATCACTCCTGACATCTTACCCTGAGCTATGTGGGCCTGAAAAACCTGGTAATGGCAACCAAGTTCCAAGGCACATTGAGTTTTCGTTTAAGAATCCCGTTGGTTGTCGCATGATCTGGATTAAACTAAGTATTCAAAAAGCAGGCTCAAGCTCAAGCTCTGTAAATTTTGACCTTCTATCCTTGGATGAAAATCCTTTCTCGGACTACAATAGGCGTTCCTCTTTAGGAGGACCATTGGAAACGGATCCGTGTTTGCATGCTAAAAGAATTATTGTGGTTGGAAATCCAGTGAAAACATCAGATATTTCATCTGCAAAAACTTCTACTGACCACATTAGCCTCAAAAACTGGTTGGATAAACCTCCACCCCTCAACAGATTCAAGGTATTATTTACTTACAACTGCCCTGCCCTATTTTATTGGAATCAAACTTAACCAATAGAATGGTTTTTTTCCCATTCCATCATGGCTTTTTCATGATTTTAATTATATTTTACTAGAAAAAATATATTTTTATTAGGTTATTTGGGTTTTATTGTGCTTAAAATAATATTTTATCTTTGTAAATAAAGAATTCATTCATTATATATATATATATATATATATATATATATATATATATATATATATATATATATATATATATATATATAGTGTTAGAATTGTCACTTGAAAAGTTTTGTTACTGAGAGAGAGGGTCATGCTTTGTTACTTGTTACTATGATGATGATGATGATGATGATGATGATGATGATGATGATGCATGTTGCAGGTTCCAGTTGAGGGTGAGAGGTTGATTGAGAATGAGCTGGTGTTGGAACAATATATGTCTCCAGCCTCACCAATGCTGGCAGGATTCCGCCTTGATGGCTTTTCTGCAATAAAACCTCGAGTTACCCATTCACCTTCATCTCATGATCATCATCATCTATCAGCTTTTTGGGAAAATAGATTTATATCTGCACCCGTACTATACATTCAAGTATCCGCTTTACAGGTATTTACTTTCTATCTATCTATCTATCTATCTATCTGTAAACTCTAAACTCCCCACATCAACATGCACTAGCTGTTGGCTGTTGCTGCCTGTGGGTGGGGGGACATTGTGCATTATTTTGTTTTTTATAGCACCCTACTTTTATTTCTTCATATTACTTGCAACATTTTAAAACTTATAAAACTACCCAACAACACAGTTAACAACAATTAATTATGACAATATTATCTATCTATCCATCCAAGTATTTTTCAAAGATAATGTCCAAATAATAATAATAATATAATTGGGCCATGCCTTAACAATAACTAAATTAATAAATTGAACATTGTATGTGTGTGTAGGAGAATCAGAACATGGTGGTAGTTGCAGAATACCGGTTACCAGAGGTGAAGGGTGGGACCCCCATGTACTTTGATTTTCCTAGACCTGTCAACAGTCGGCGAATCTGTTTTAGACTATTTGGGGATGTTACATCATTTGCAGATGATCCCACAGATCAGGATGATTCTGATTTGAAAGGTCGCCCCCCATTGGCCACAGGGCTCTCTTTATCCAACCGAATTAAGCTTTACTACTATGCTGATCCCTATGAGCTTGGGAAATGGGCTAGCCTTTCTGCTGTTTAACTTGCTTCTATCTTCTTTGTCCCTAGAAAAAAATTCATCTCATTCATTGCTGTAATGTTGTGTAAATTTCTTTATTTTTTTGTGTTTCTGTTTGCTGGGATTTATCTTATTAAGGCTGGAGTTGTAATTGGTTTCGTCTGTTTTCCTCCCAACTCCAATTGTGAGGTTTGCTTAAATTGGGCGATTCTATTTCAAATTGACATCTGATCGTACCTCTGGAGGATTCTAGGGTCACGTAAGAATATTATTTTTTATGTTTGCACAAGCTTCTAATTGATTTTAAAGGCTTGTGCGAAGTGGAAAAATGGACCCTCTATACATTTTAGGCGTGATAGTGAGAGAAAACTGAAAGGTGAATTAAAGTAGTTAAGAATAAACATGCAAAATTAATAAAGGGGAAAATATGAAACTTTTGGAAACCAAAATTGAAACATGTGGTAGATTCTGAAGCATGAAACATCAATCTTCTGAAAGTGTAATTTGATGTCTAATGAGAGAGAAAACATGAAGGTGAAAATGTTAACGATTGTTGGGTGGTCGTTTTGGCAAAAAGACATTTCTAAACTGGTTGAATCAGATTTTTAGTGTGAATAATAAGAAGTCAAATTCTTAGAATTTTGAAAACTGAATTATATACACTTCATGATTAGAATATGAATAAATTCGTTTGTTGATTTTCAAAATCAATTTGAATAATGAAAATGCTAAAATATTATAAAACTATATAGAAATATATTTCGGTTCATATAGAAATTTTACTAAATTAATTTGTAAATTATCAAAATAGTTGAAATTGTAAGTTAGATTTATATTGTGAGTGTTAAAATTGAAATATTTACAGTTAAGATTCATAATGTGAATATGGACAGACCAGTGTTTTTGTGTGTGTTATTTTTTTATTGTAACGTTTAAATCCATAAATATAAGTCAAAACTTAGTGAGTTCTCCTAAAATACCCCACACAATAATACACATACAATGCATGCACACATGAACCTATAGATTGACTGGACCATCTCGAAAAAGCTACAATACACCTAGACTACTCTCCTAAGCCTACAACATATAATTGGACCGCTCCCTTACAATCTAACCGGACTGCCTTGCAAGACCTACAGTACACCTGGACCGTTTAGGTATGTTGGACTACAGCACAAAGCAGAACCGTTTCAACCCAACCACAATATGTCGATATATACAAACAGATAAAACAATAACCAACAAAGCACAAGTAATCATAATAGATCTACAAATCTAATAGATCACTACATCATACCAACATCCTACTGAGAAAACTCACCTCGTAGTCTAGCAGATAAACAATACAACTCACACGAATCCAAAAACTGGTACTACGAGTCACCTATACAACAAACAGGGAACAATCCCTCAATCTACAACCCAAAAACCCTAAAGTTGGCTAAAAGTCAAATTGACCAAAAATCAACAATCAAAAGTCCATCATCCGGTCACCACATTGTGGCCAAGCATTTGCCATGCCGTGGTGGCCTCACGACAAAGCAGTCGCGAAAACCACCTATCAACACGTCGTAGTGGCTAAACCTCCACGTCGTAGAAACTGATCTGACTAGCTTAATGCTTTAAGCTCTTAATCCTTCAAGCTACTCATTCATACTTTCCAAAAGATTTTCTTACACCCCATGAGTCATAAAAGTCGAATTATGTTGTCTTATATGTGATAGGTGAAGAAGAAGAGATGGGACGAAGAGAGGAAAGAGTAAAGCATGCCCTAGATTAAGAAGAAAGCAAGAGGCTGAGATCAAGTGTGAATAGAGCATGAGAAGACAAGATTGGTGATAGAGAAAGCGGAAAGAACAAAGCAGCAAAGTGTGAATACATAAAAACATATATATGATAGAACTCACTAGACCTATGGTCTGATGTTGTAGATATTTTTATTTTTTTTGCAGATTCATGTAGCAGCTGTTGTGCTACCTGTTGTACATGACATTGTAGAAACATAAAGACCGGACTAGAAGTAGTTTTTATTTTTAGTATACATTGTAAATTATGTTTATGATTTTTATTGGGGATTTAGGACGAATATAATAAAAAGTGGATTGTTATCACAATCTTTAAATACCCAAATCTTATCTAAAAAAATCCCACCTGATGAAGATAAAACAACCTGTACGGAACATCAACATCACCAAAAAAAAAAAAAAAAAAAAAAAACATATTGACAGTGAAAATCAGGAAAATTCCGTTAGTGTTCAGTTTGTTTAGAAGATTTCCGGATCGTAGATGAAGCAAAAGAGGGATGTAAATACAAGACTGTTTTCTGCCACGGCTAGACCTTCACAATACATGTCCAATTTGCATAGCTTCTAATGAATCCGTGTTATCATTTTCAACACCAACAGGATCTTCAAAGAACGAGAACGGTTCCTCCCGACAACTTTCTGTAACTCTCCCTTGGTCTTTTAACAACCTTTTCCAATCAACATCATCAAAACCGACACCGACACCAACACCGGGTACTCAAAACACAAACACTTATTTGATAATAGACAAGCCAAACAACAGAAGTGGTAAGTTTGTATAGTGACAATAACTTTTAAATTCTATTTTTTTGCTCAAAAATAGAATGAAAAATAAAATGTTGTTGGATATGGTTTAAATCTTGGTACAAAAAATAACATATATATAAAAATCTCAATTCAATTTTCGATAATATAGCAAATAATGATTACATAACCAAACAAGAGTTATAATTTAGAAACAAACACCATTTGTGTAACTCCATATTTTTAACCATTACCATCCAAATCGGTAAAAGAAAAAACACAACAAAAACTGCTTGATAACACAAGCTGTAATTCGTTTACAGATAAGGATTTGGAAAAATTAAAAATCCTAGGTAAAAACCAAAGAGAGTTTTGATATTTAACGAAAACAGTAAAAGTATCAGTAAATAAATGTTTGTAAAGCTTTACAGACTTTTTATACGGAAAATTTCTCCTTCATGCGCGATATAAGTTTAAACTTTTCTTCAGCCTCAACCTGCTGCCTCATGTCAGATCCGGAGGCTCTATCTGGGTGAAAGCTCAGTAATGCCCTCTTATAAGCTACACGCACCTGAAATAGAAATAGAAAATTGATCTCTTGTGCAAAAGACAGACTTAAATTCCCTTGAAATTGAAATAAAAACATACCTCATTAGATGATGCGCAAGGACCTTCACCAACTTGGATGCCTAAACCACGCAATAATGAAGCCATATCAGGACACATGATTTCCAGCTTCTGAAGCTCTTGTCTAATTTCCATGCGGTATTCTTCTTTCAAATTCATATTTTCCTCATCCTGTCAAACAGTCAACAAATACTATTATTTTCTATGATTTTTTGTATTATGTCTAGCCCTGATTGAATATACAAAAATACCACTTTTTTCTCCCACTTAGAAAACTAGGATTAAACGAAGGTTCAAATAAATATTTATCAACCACTTAGTTCTTGTGCGAGTATGTATATGATGGTTTCAACCTTTTTTTGAGTTTGACGGATTTCTTCGACACGTTGCTTTTGTCTTCTCTCCATGTCTAATAAACGCAAGCTTTCGGCTTTTCTTCTTTTTTGCAGACGACGCAACTGCTGAGCTTCTTCTGCCTGTGAAACAAAAGAAAGAAAGAAAGAAAGAGATGATATGTTGATTTTATGTTAAGCAGTTTGAGTAAAAACAAAGATGTGCCTACCTGGATCTTTAAGGCTATTTTCCTGGCTGACAATTCTTGCTCTAATGCCCGCTTGTATTCATCAGTCTGTTTAAGCTTTTCACGTTGATCAATAATAGAGTTCTCAACGCTGACATCATCACTCTCCTCCTCATTACCATTACTACTACAAACACAAGTGTCCGGAAACTGATCTTGGTTTTTCTTGCCACCTGCTCCACACTCAACATCAAACATACTTGATTCACCACCAACATGACTTTTTCCTTCAACACTTGAATCTTGACCATGTTTTTGTTTTTGTTTGTTTTTGTTTATGTTGCCATAATCATCATTGTGTACATCACCTTTTCTCTTCAAAAAAGCTCTTTCCCACTCCTCCCTTAGTTTCCCAGAAGAATCCTCCATCAATTCACAATCAATATGTTCATCATCATCATCATCATCAAACCGAGTGCTTAAACTATAAGTTCTTTTCCCTTTTGATAACTTCAATGGAGAGATATTTTCTTCAACACCGGGATCATATCTCTTGCTGCTTGATGAAGCAACATTTTCAAAGTTTGTTTCACTCGGGATTTCATCATCATCATCATCTTCTTCTTCATCTTCATCTTCGTCTATGTAGATGTATGTCCTTGAAGGGCGATTCTTGTCATTTGTCAATCCACTTGAACCTCCTCCTCGTTTCTTTGCAAGACTCTCAAGCAGATCAATGTCGATTACGGTATTGAAATTATAAGTATCTACGTCTATCAAAACTACATTATCAGGCTCTAAATTATTCCTGCATCTTCTTAAGGCCTTCATCTCATCTATTTTCTTTAGCTATCACTATCCGCGTTTATGGAAACAGAATAAAGAATTTTCTTCACTTGGCCTGGCTGTAAATCACTCGTTTCTTGCATTTGTCACTGCTAATTGCAACATGTACACAAAATAATACATATTTAGACCAGATAAACACAAGAAACGATTTTTTGTCATCTTCCTATTGTAGAATTATAGACTTTTCAACTTTTATCTTATCATCACATTTTATCTACCCAATTATAGTAGTGGAATTTGAATGACATTGCTAGCCTATAACTGGGTATATATCCAGAGTATGATGCTGTAATAGGAATAAATAAGTAAGATGCTATAAAACAAATCAAGGGATGTAAGTTGCTATTTCTTGTATTTGAATAAATCAGAAAGCTACGTGACATCTAAAGGTTTTGCAAACTACTTTCATGACATAATCAAGAGCTATTTTGGTACATACAATGGATTATAACCCTAAAGATTCTACAAGCAAACAAATAACATTTTTATGGAGGCTGGATCTAGACGTACTTCAAATTAATCCACTTACATTTTACTTTTACATTATCTTCAGATTACTAAGCCATTACAAAATTTTGTTAAGCATAGCTTCTAATAATTGTACACATCTTAATAAGCCCTAATTCACCCCCATTCAATTACACTTGATAACGTCAGTATACTCGAATGAACCCCAATTTAAACTAGCCTACGTCTAGATAACTATAACGCCCATGAACACTACTGTTCATTTCTGTTAGAGCAGCGATCATTAAACAAACATGCAAAGCTAACAGGATTTCAAAAACCCAGAATACAAACCATGAATTCCACGAAAATCCAACTGGTATAAGCGCAAAACCCTAAATTGGCGACCTAAATCATGCATAACAACTTATAAAAAACTAAAATTGAGCATCGATTGTAATATTTACCTGGAGACGAATTCGTTTATGCACTTGTAGAATCGATCGCGCTAGAACCTAAATTCTTTGAGAAATAGTCGTGGAAAAACGAAAGAAAACGAAGAAACCCAAAAGGGGCGTGGAATTTCGAAACTAGACTTTCCAACCTCTTGGGGCAAAAAAAATACTTCTGCACACAAAAATACCGGTTCGCTGGGTTTGGATACCTTGGTTGAAAGGGTTTCTCTTACCGCGGTCCTGGATCGGGTTATAATGGACTAGAGCGGTATAGCGGGTCGTGCCTTCCTATTTTTATTTTCTATTATAAAATTATAGTATAATTTTAAAAGTTAGTTGACTAATCAAGACCAAAACAAAAGTTAAGTGATTAAATGAGTACAAAACCAAAAGTTCGATGACCTTTTAAAATGTAAAAAGAGTTAAGCGACCAAATAAATACAAAACTAAAAATTAAGTGACAAAAAATGACCTTAACTCTTATGAAAAGATCGCAGATGGTTAAAAAGAAAAAGATAAGTGGAATTAGGTTACCTTCACAATTTTTCAAATAGGTTTATGGTTGTTAGAGCAAATATGTATCCGGATATCTAATTTGTTTTTTTATATAAAACTTGTTGCATTTGATTAAATATATATACTCTCCCAAATCTCATAATCAAAAGACGTCCCCATCAACGTTGATGCCAAAACAACCAACATTGTCTTCTGGACATTCATTGTTTTGGATTTTCCAAGTCTTGTTGATGCAGTTAAAAGACACTCACTTAGTAGAAACAATATATTTTCACTATACATTTCCAAGTCTTTGCAGCGACTTGTACATCAGTGTAGAGATAACTATAAACTTCTTCTTCATGTTTGGTATTTTGATGATGGGGCCGTCATCGGAGATTCAGAGGAAGGGGTAGAGTGTTGAATATCATTAGGGTGACAGGTCCAGGATTGTATTGAATTGAATATCAAGAAAACTCAGTTATTTTGGTATCCATGTGATGGTATGAAGCTTCGTGCGGGTTTATTCCCTGTTAACATTGGACAACCGTTATTGGGGGTGAAGCTTTTTAGAGGATTTGTTAGTAGAGATACGAGTGTTATTAACGGGTTAGCCATGAAAAGAGCTATCAATGATGTTGATTTGATGTGCCTTCTTCCACAGTTACGTGACCCTTAGAGTCAGCTCCTTTTGCTTCGATCTTGCATGGACATTGCCAAGCTTTTCTTTGCTCAGAGGACGTGCCAACCCATTCACATGGAGGAGATGACTTTGTTCTTTGATAAATGGTTATGTGGGTCGATTGAGGACATTGTGGTTTGTGGGGGTCCTTTCTTTGGGACATTCAATGGTGACTTACTTCATTACCAACTAGGTTTGGTGGTTTGGGGTAGTACTCAGATGTAGAGGCTTCTTCCTATGCTTTTGTGACCTTACTAGCTTAATCGTGGGTGTTATAAAATCACATCTTATGAGATAGTGGTATATGTGGTATGGATTCTGATTATGTTTGTGCTTTGGTATATCTTCGTGATACGATTTTAGGCATTGACTTTAGTAATTTCACTAATAAGGACACTGCCCCTACAAAAGCCCAACATTAATCAGAGAGTGCACTTTTTAGTAAGACTTTCCCAGACATGGAAGTTCACTTCGACGTGACTATTAGGCAGAAAGTAGGTTTTGAGTGTCTGAGAGCACCATATGCTCAAGATTTTACTATGACTATTCCTATTGATGGTCTTGGCCAACATATGTCGCCAGTGGAGTATCATGTTATCCTCAAGTATCGCCTTATGATCCCTTTATTTCCAGTTGATGAGACATGACTTGTTTATCGTAAGGCATGCTCAGATTCCTTTGTGGAGCATACAATTCATTGTAGAGAGCTCACGGGTTTCAAGTACCGATATTATTTGGTTAAGGATGTTCTTTTCAACATATTTAGGCGTTTCAAAGTTTTTGTCAAGAAAGAGGCACATGTGAACTTTCTGACTGACCCGTTGGAAGGAAGATCAACACTTAGACCAATTGATGTTTTAGTTTTTGCATGGGTTGGAAAGAAGCACATTGTGTGAATCTAACAAGGGTTTCTTTTCTTGTGGGCTTGAGGAGCGAGGTTTTCACTATGGGTCAAATTGCTTTAAAAGCTGCTTCATGCAAAGTAGCAAAAGATGAGAAAGCGTGCATAGAAATCAACACATGTTTATACCTTTTGCATTTGATATGTTTGGTTTTCTTGCGTCAGATGTTGTGGATCTCATCAATAGATTCCAACAGGTCATGCATAGTAATGTTATGACCCCAAGATCTATGAGTGTTTTTTTAGAAGAATTGGTTTTTCCATCCAAAAAGAGGGTTGTGGCGCAGCTTGTTGCTCGTTTACCCACTATGTCTGTGTCATGGTTACAGAAATCGCTAATCGGTGGACTAGCGATTAGGGATTAATCGGCTAGGCGGGGATTAATCGGGGACCATTAATTATTAAGAAAATTATTCAAAAATTTATAAATCTAATTTTAATCCTACAAAAAAAGTGATTAATCGGCGATTAGGTCCGATTAGGTCCGACTTTGACCTGCGTTGACCAAACCCGATTAAGTCCGATTAGGCCCGATTAATTCCAACTTTGACCTGTATTGACGAAACCCGATTAGCAATAAATCTCATCGGTGGAGGTCCGATTAGCTATTAATCGTCTGATTATGCCGATTTTTGCAACACTGGTTTGTGTAAAACTTTTATGATTTATATTAAAATATCTAGTAAAATAAAAAAAATTGATTTATCATGAAGGGGTGTTCAAATTGCTACACCAACCCCTATGTACCTTTTCAATAACTTAGTTTGTTGAGAAATGGATTTCACCATCACCTAATCTCCAACCTTGATTATATGTGCCATATCTTGTAATCCATATATTTCATCTTCTTCGTTGCCTTATCTAAAGAAGTTTGTGTCATGTATATACGATCATTTGTGAAACTATAAGTGATCACTCCCTCCATGTGTTATGACCAAGGCATTTGGTTTTGATAGCTTTGTACACATGATGATCTCGAATGTTTTACCCATGACTTCACTCTTTTGTATATTTATTAAAATTGTGTGATGTCGCGAAGTTTGGCACAACCCCTTTGATTAACACTTACATAATACTATAAATGTAACTCAAGTAAAGAATTTACCCTTTCTGATTAGGGTGAAAACTTGTCTCTAAATCACCATAATCGAATCTATAATCTAAAAAATTAGGAACATAATATTAAAAAAACATTGACACAATATTACACTCTTATATATAAACACAATAAATAAAGAGCTAAACTAAAAAACATGTAATTTCCAGATCTATAAAGTTATGAGAACGTAATAAGCCTAGAATGCAAATTTATTAGAAATTGAATTCGAGAAACATATCAAACAGTAGAATTTGAAAATTAACGATGATCTAATGAAGAAAAATTAACATTTATAATAAAATCAACCTAATTTAGATGTAAAGAGGAAAGACTTACTGATTTTGGCGAGATTTGGATGTTGAGTCCAAATTTAATGCTTAGTCTGATTATCGCCGATCTCAATTGCTTTGAAATCCCAAAAACGAAAGAAAAGGTGAAAGAACGAATAAGACGGCACAAACCCTAATCGCTACCATATATGCATAAAACTTATATAATATCCATCCAAGAATATAAATGTGAATTCAATGATTTTACATCTCCATATGTACCCCCTATATTTATAGTCTACCACTACAAAAATTAAATCAAAAGTAAAAATCATAAACATGAAAGGACAAAATTGCCCCTAACTTTTTCATGTTGAAGTAAAGAAAACGTATAATACACTCTCACAACAAAACATAATTGGAATGTAAATAACACACACAAAAAAAAACAATGAGTTGATGACATATTTCTTTTTTGTTTTAGAATAATGTTGTTAACATGCTACAATATTTTTATTTTATACTCGAGTTTAAGTTGGGCTTTATTATTTTACAAATATTTTATATATGTATGTTTTAAACTACTAGGGGACTCTTATGTTGTGTTATAGTAACCTTAATTCTATTATTGATT